TTTACATAATTGCATAATAATTAGTATTTTGTGAGAATTCAAAGAGCTAATCACATTTCTCCCATCAAAAATTATGTGTAAATGTGTATTGAGTTTTGCAATACCGTATTTGCTCTATTAGAAGTGCATCTCCCATTGTTTTCCAGTATACATAATCATTAAAATATGACCATAGACACGCTCAGTCATTTAAGTAAAGTGTAATGGCACTAATGGAGAAAATACAGTAGTTCTTCTGATATTATCATACTTTATGCATCAGTCCTTTTAGGTTTCATTATGTACGTGCTTTAATACATTATTTTATTTTAATACAGTATGTATATAATAAAAGAACAGCATCATGAGAGTACCATCATACAAGTAGGTCATCATTAAAATATTTGAGATCTGGATATAAATTTTTAAATTTTCTTTTAACTATATTTGCAGGCATACACACAGATACACTAAATCTCCTTATGGCAGCTGGTGTACAGCATCATGTTCATTTCAGATTTCCCACAAAGTACTTGATGAATAGAAATGTTGTCGCATTGTGAAGTATATTTTCAATGATTAATCTCTTCCATTTGCCGCAAAATCCATGACCGATATATACCTCAATACAACATTAATATTTTTGTTAAAAAATTACTAAATATGGGCTTAAATTAAATCACCAGTCTTCAGACTGCGTTCTGTTTTGTAGGAGTGATGTATGTAAATACGACACATGTAAAATTCATGTTTTATCTGCAATTCAAATGCTGTGTGCATGGACTGTATAACTTTATTGAGAAATAATTTTGAGATCATCAACGAGCAGCTTAACGAGCAGTGGTGGTTGTCGCATCGCACTCTGTTCGATATGAGACCCATATTGACATATACAACACTTGTTCATATGAAATTTGAACATGTGCAGTGCAACGACCACCAACCTTTAACGTTTTTCCCGATCATACTACACTGTAACTACTAGATCAACTACTAGATCACACCCACACCCCAACCCCAACCCCTGGTCTTCAAATAGTGACTCCCTAGTACAAGAATTCTTGCATTAATTGAATATGAATGAATAATTGTTGCCAGACATGATTAAATTGTTAAAAGAAAAATTACAATTTTTATTTGAGTAGATGAATTATTAGAAAATAATTTGTGTGGGTGGTAACATGTAGATGTCAATAGAAGTAATTTCTAACAGGAAAAAAAAGTGTAAACAATTGGTAGCAAAAATATGATTAAAGGGCGGTAGTCGTCGTGCCACGTCCTGTTCGATATGGGACTCATAGCGACGTATACAACGCGTGTAAAATACATTGTTTATTTACATGAAATTCGAACAATCACTGCGCGACGACCACTGCGCTTTAACTAGTGTTATTTCTCATCAATAAGAAACATCAACTAAAGGTGATGGCAAAGTGTGACATTTCCCACCACACGGCTGAACTCAAAAAAAAGGAAAAGTATTTATGATATGATCATGGTCAGGATATATATAGATATATATATACTAGTACTGTAAAAACTGTATTAGAAACCGCAGCTTCTATTAAAAAGGTACAATCCAATAGAGGGGGTGCGGCTTCTATTAGAGCATCTACACATATGAGAAATGATGATTTTTTTGGTTCCCAATTGTTTAAAAAGAATGGGTGTGACTTCTATTAGGGATGCGGCTTCTAATACAGATTTTACGGTACTTGAGGAATCCTAACAGTGATGGTGTTACACTGAAGTCAGGTAAGGTAGGTATGTTATAAACTATTTATAAACACGCATATTTATAAACTCAAATGGTAGTCACCAATACACATCAGAGGAGCATAGGATTGATGCTGTTGGTAATTTATGCTAATTTATGTGAGAGCACTTCATAGTAGGCAGAGAGTCACCTGCTTAGCCAATCAAATCGTTGAATGAGACTTGTTTCAAATGAAAACGTTTGAGTACCGGTAATGAATGTTTTTAATATAAGTAAATACATGTCTCACCTGATGTTGGTGTACATATTTTATTTATTTACTTATTGATTCTTACATAATCCCCAGAGGGAAAGGAAATAATCACAAGATACAAAAAAAAAAAGAAGAAAACAATATGCTAGATAACAAAATACAATCACTAAATTACTAAATAATACAAAATCACTAAAATACTAAATAATGTAAGAATACTAAAATAATGAAAAATAGGTAAAATTTGTCATAACAGAAAAAAGGAGTAAAAGTTAATATTACCGACAGCAGGGATTAAGATGTCATGTGAGATCCTGCTTCCTGACTTCAAAGCTTTTACTTAGGAACTGTGCTACTAGTATAATAATGTTTTCATTCTGTAACAATTCCATGAATTTTTTCTCTGCAGGTTTATTTTAAAATTCTGGGATCATATCCTTAGCTTTATTGAAAAGATTGGTACGCAACTCATTATATTTGTTGCATATTCCATCAGAAAGTGCATTTCATCCTCAAATAGACCTTTGTTACGCATAAAGTTTAAACATGCTTTTCCTGATTTTATTATTGCACTGTATGAGCACAATTTTGAACAGGAGTAAAACGTGCAGTGTTTAGGCAGATGCAAAAGCGGATGTCTGTAAGTCAAGGGGCATTGAACATAATGGACACCATTGTTCAGCGAAATCATGAAAAGAGTACTGTTTTACGACGCTCCATCAGTAGATGCAAAACAACCATAGCAATGATGCATCAAATACTTATATAGGACCATAAAGATATTACCATTCAGATCTGAAGTCCATAATTTTTTGATGATTTGAAACCCAAAGTAATGAATGTCATTTAGTGACGCTGGAGAGTTGACAAGTCTTCGTGTCCTTCGGTGTGGTTTTAAGAGAACTGCAAAATCATCATCACAAAAAAGTTCATCTAAGGTCACCATGAACTTTTGCTTGATAAATTCAAATTCAAACTTTGTTGCTTTTATGAGGTTAAAATATAAAAAACTGCTCCACTGTTGTATAGCATGTTTTATAGGCAGTATATTAATGTTACATTGAGCCTGATATTATTCCTAAAGCTTTATTAGGGTCTTAGGACTGTTATGTTCAATATTGGACAGTCTGAAATTATGCAAATCATACAGATTTACTCCTGTTCTAAATAATAGCGATCCATAGTAATTCGGAACAGAGCGGAATTTGTGAACACTGGTCCCTCTATCACTTATTGTGGGGGTAAATCATCTGTTTACCCCTATGTGAATAGAAGACAAGTGAGAGTCATCACCAGACCCATGATAAATATACTGTGAGTGAGCATTGCACAAAAACATGATTCAAAAAAGTAGCACATGAAATATGAACAGACAATTCAAATGGGAAGCCCATTCATTAACCCTTAGAGCGCTAAAGTCAACAAAATATTTGTAGTCTGCGTTTTTCCACAGAAAATGTTGACAAAAAATTCAACTTTTTAATCAAAAACTAAAAGCAATGTCACATTTTGTCTGTTTGGTCCAAAATTAGGATTGAATTCAGTGAAAATTACAGGAAATTGAAACAAATTGACCCCATTTTGAGTGTGAAAAAAATTTGCCAGCATTTTGAGCAGCGCAAGTTAATTTAAATCTGAATACATTCTGCAAATTTAGATATTCAAAAATAAAGGTGTATAACAAGAAACTCAGAGTGCGACTTCATAAGCAGCAACCAGGGAAATCTCCATAATTCATTTTTGTACCACAGGGGACCATAAACTTGCTTGATTTCATTATTTTCTATGTCCATGGGAGTTAATCCTATACTGAATGATCCAGTCCCTTTTAGTTA